CCCGCCACGCCCCGCCACGCCGCGCCACGCCCCGTGCAGGCCACCGCGCCCAGCAAGAGGCCCGTTGGGCGAATGTCTCAATGGGAATCGCAATAATAATAAGCCGGCGCCGAGGCTAATACGGATCTGAATCTGAATCGGCGGTTCTTCCGCATTCCGGGAACACTAATAGTGGACCAGAAGACCAGTTCAGGCCGGGCGACTCGGCACGCGGTTTGAACTCGTTCAGTCCCAGGGCTGGAGCAGCACACGCAGGTCCCAAAGAAGTGTGCCCTTTGCTTATTTGCTCCATAGCACACGTTTGATACAAGCACGCCAAAAAAAATGGAAAAATTAAAACTTTTCTTGGTGTGTGGCTGGTGCTTGCAAAACTCGACCACTTTGATTCAACGACTGGATCTGCCTGCATTGCCGCACTTGCAGTGTGGGGTGACACTATGTCCCTACCGTCACACGCCATGCGGGGGCGCTACAGCTCTCTCTCTCTCTCTCTCTCTCCTCTCTCTCTCTCTCTCTCTCTCTCTCTCTCTCTCTCTCTCTGGCGGGGGCGACCGCAGCCTGCCCACGGCCGTTGCCGCGGCGACGAAGGGATGGCACACACACACACACACACACACACGGCAACATACAGACGAGAAAAAAAAAACAAAGTCTTTAACACGTTCTGAATAATTAATAGCGACATGACGAACACTTGCGAAACCAACACGCGCAGAGTGAGGACCGACTGCGCGGCGCTAGCTGGCGCTAGCCACCACAGCGGTGCGGTCTCCGACGGGGAAAATTAAAATTCTGCAATGCGACCGCAAGCGATTAAACGTGTCGTCGCAGTGCTGTTTTTTAATTCATAACTTTATTTTTTTTTTTCGGGCCCTGTGGGCGGTCGTGTCGCGCCCGCCGCGTTGCGTCACTGTAAAAGCACATCGCGACGCCACTACACCGTAACGTTATGCATCTTTATGCCTTCCTTCGCGGCGTTCGCGTCCCAACACGTGTGCACAAACTAGCCCGCCGAAGAGAGAGTACTCCGAGGGGGAGAGAGAGAGAGAGAGAGAGAGAGAGAGAGAGAGAGAGAGAGAGAGAGAGAGAGAGAGAGAGAGAGAGAATGTGATGCTGAAGATGGAGGCTGACCCGCGTCACCTCTAGCCAGCTGGCAGTTCAAACGCGGCGGCACACTGGCACTTAAAAAAATCACGCTGACATAACTCTCGCTACAGTTTCATAGCGCTACATGTCTAAAAATTTCTTTTTTAAAAAGGCAAAAAGATACTTAATTTGGAGATCTATGTATTTGTTTACTAGGATTGAGTAAGAAGTAGAATTATCTACCAACACCAACATTTTGTTTGAAGAAGAATTATTTTCCGACATTGATCCAAAAGAACTATCAATGCTAGTTTTCTCTTAATTTTTTTTCACAGTGCAGCAGGCCATACGTGCACCGACACTGCAGTTTGCAGTTTGTGTGCTCACGGTGAAATCGGGCGCGGCGCGGGGAAGACCGGGAGAGTCTCTCTCTCTCTCTCTCGCACTCGTGGAGCTCTCCGAAGGGCACGAAAGAGACAGAGCGGAAAACCTGCAGCGCTCGGCAGCGCGTTGGGCACCTGTCGAGCGAGGAGGACGGACGGACGAGACGCGGTGTTATCGCCTTTTGTCTCGGGAATCGCTCTCCGCGACTTCCTTATGTTTACCTAATTTATCCGCGAGGGGCGCGTCGCGGAGGGGACACCTCGTCGCATAAACCACGTTGCGGCTCGGCTTGCAGCAAGCCGCGCGCCGCGTGTGGGAAATGGAAAGTCTCTGTCCCGGGTTCGAATCCCACCGGGTGCTTTACTCTTTTTCAAGGAATTTGTTTTTTCAACGGTGCCGAGCTATTTTGCCCAAGCAACACGCACTAAAAGGGAAATTCAGCCGAAAGATAACGTGCTGGAAATGTTGCATTTTTTTTTTTTCATTTTCGTTTTTTTGCACAGTGCCGTGGCGATGGCCGAAAAGCGTTTTTGCGGGCTTGCATTTCTTCACCGCTCTCTTGACAAAGTCCAGCGTGGCCAGTTTCACGCTTTCCCTGTACAGTACCGATCCTACCGCTGCGAGCAAATGCAAGAATGCCTCGCCTCGGCCCTCGCGGCCCCAGCCTCGCCACAACTAACTGAAATAACCTTGCGAAACGCGACAGCATGCATAGATCGTGTGGGGAAACCCAGCTTAAAATTCCACCTGGAAATTGGTCTGGATTTATTTCCATTGTGGAAAGTAGAATCCAGAGGGATCTGAAATCCAGCTGGTATTTGGAACGTTTTCCCATCTGGAATTTTATGAATTCCATAGTGGGTTTCCGATTTCCAGTATGGATTTACACATCTGTGGAAATGGAAATCACTCCAAAATACTGTACTCGTTTATTTGTAAAAAAGAGGCTAACTTTAGCACTGCTAATCGCAGTGACTTTAGAATGGAGCGTGCCCCCTGTGGTCCCCCAATTTCTCAAAATATGGATTCTTTTCACGTATTCATACTGATTCCAGCAGGAATTAGTTGAGTATTTAGAGCAAGCTTATCAAGTAGATAAGCTAAAGCCAGCTCGGCAATGGTACAGACACCAAAGAGGTGCAGGTGCCACGGCCTCAAAAATTGATTGATGTGCCAGATGGTACTGGATTTGTCACATGTCATCTGGAATTAGACTTCCTCGACTAAGGAAATTGGAAGCCTTGGTCACAAGCGAGAGATAACTTAGATTATAAAAATCTCAGCCTGTAATACTGATACATACATCACTCATATAAGGATTCATAACTCTCATGGATACCGTTCAGAATCCAACTATTCGGAAGTATAAGGGCACTTTCTTTGAGCTAGGAGAGCCTTTTATCTACTGCAGGACAAAAAAGCGACACTAGCGCCACCTAGCGGACAAAGCTTAAAAAATCCAGTCTGGAAATGAAAAATCCATCCTGGATTTCTAGTAAAATCCATTGTGGAAATCTCGCTATGGAAATCAGACTTTCCACAGTGGAATACAATTTCCATTCTGGGTTACTCAAACCCTTATGGAAAAAAAAATTCCATCTGGAACCCTTATTTCCAGACAGCAGCCTGGTATGGAAATGACCCTTTCCAGCTGGAAAATATAAATCCCATATGGATATGAGCAATCCAGATGGAAACAAGGAAATCCAGAGGAAATTCCAGGTGGAATTTTAAGCTGGGAAACACTACTGACATCCTTCCTGCAGCGCGGGCAGGACGTATCCTTCTGGCACACTGGAAGGGTAAGTCCCACCGCACAGTGGGCCAGAAGACCGGTGGAGGTGGCCAAACTCCCAGAAGCGTTTTGAGCTCCAGAGTCGCTGAATGGGACTCGAACCGAATGTGCGACCCCACCAATGGATCTCTCGTTCGGAAAGCAATCCATTGGTGGGGTCACACGTCCGGTTCGAGTCCCACCCAGCGACTCTGGAGCTCAAAACGTGTCTGGGAGTTCGGCCGCCTCCACCGGTCTTCTGGCCCACTGTGCACCGTACTGCAAGCCTTATGCGAAGCCGCCAGAAATCCCAATTTGGACCCCGAAGGCCTGTGTCCGGCTGCAGACTCCGAGAGCCGTCGCTCTGTCTCTCTCGCACTCATGGGGCGTCCCGTGTAGGTGCGAGGGAGACAGAGACAACTCCTGGAATCGATCTGCTGTCCGGCCGGCGTGCGCGGAGGCAGCGGAGGCAGGGACCGCTCGGGGACCTTGCTCGGCTAGATGAGTTTCCACGCCACTTGTTATTGCTCCTGCTCAGGCTGCTCAGGTGCGCGGGCTTGACGTGCGTGGCGCTGCAGGCAGACTGATTGTCTGTCTCTCTCGCACCGGTACGGGGCGCCCCGCGAGTGCGAGAGAGACAGAGCGACGACTGGACAGGAATGGAGTGGGAAGCTGAGGTGGTCGGCGGCCATCCGGGCCGTCCCATCATGGCGACAAACACGATGAATGGGGCGCTTGGGGGACGCTCTTAACCGAATTAGCACCTCCACGCCGAGAGAGAGAGAGAGAGAGAGAGAGAGAGAAGAGAGAGAGAGAGAGAGAGAGAGAGAGAGACTGTCGCGCGTCAGTGCTTGCGTGTGTGGCCGCGCTTTAGTTTTACGCCTCCAAGACATTCCTCATGCAAGTGTGTGTGTGTGTGTGTGACGCCCGTCAAGTTGTTTGAGCGCACACTGGCAAACTAGTCCGCTCCAGTACTATCTCCCGGCTGCCAATCATCCATCCCGCAAACCCACACGACCAGGAAACCCATAAAAACTGCGCGCCAAAAGGCGAAACGAACGACGACGATTCCACCGCACACCTCGAGCGGCAAAGCCGGAGCGCGGACAGCGCCGGACAGCGCGCGGCACGTAGGCCTTAATGAATTACTCTGAGGACAGGCGGGGCGTGGCGGTGGGCAGTGGCCTTGGGACCCATCCTTAGCGGGCCGTGGCACCCGGCCAGTTAGTCTCATTCCGCGTGCAAAGTCACTCCGTCTCAACCCCTTCCCTTGCGCCCCGCTAGGCCCGCCGGGGAGCGAGAGAAAGAGAGATGGACTCGCCGTTCGGAAGTGGGGTACCCACCACCACCCCGATGGCATCGCACTTCGATTTATCGACTGGCATCGCGACCGTTAGGCGATGCACTGTTAGGCAAGGCTTGTAATAGCCCGTTAGGCGTCGCGGCTTCCACTCGCTACCACCACGCAGTTTGCACACGTCGGCCGGATGCTGCACCGGACTTTCACTCGAGGAAATTTGCCCGAATCATGCACTGCTTCTTGATCTGTGCTTGCACCGTCAAAATTTTAGCTCTCGTTGCTTGATGAAAATTTCAAGGCTTTTTGTATTTTTTGTAATATTTTGAATTATTTTTTTTGCATTTTTGGGGTATTTTTTTTTATTTTTTGGCTTTTTTTTTTGTAATTTTTTTGTGTGAATGAAATGTTGACGACAGTCTAATCATCCAGAGATTTCAAAGAAGGGATGCCATTTACCTGGAGACTGGGAGGTTGCCGTTCCGCCTGACGGCAACAGCTGAAGCTCCACTGAAGTCAACCTGCAACAGAAAAGGAGCCGGGTGTCAAGTAACACATTCGCACTCACTGTAAAAAAAAAATCGGTCACCTCCGGGTCATGGTAGTATCGCCTAGGAGGTCATACTGCACGGAGGTGATTGACGTGACACTCCATCACGAGCGACAATAACACGACCGCTAATTGCACATTACTAATTACTCATTAACAATTGTCTTTCCAAGCCGCGGCTCCTCCTACTTCCGCCAGGCCGACTCCTACCGACGCATAAATTTCAATATTTTATCTTTCGGCGCTCCGCCATCGATTCGCGAGTCATTTCGTCGTTATATTTCATCCCGTTCCAGCTAATTAGTCCCTAAAAAAATCTATTTCATTTAATTGGCACCAAGAGGACCATTTTCGGCACGAGATTGTATTGATATCAACCACCACTGTGTGTGTATTCTACTGCATGGAAAAAACATAATCAGAAAAATGTTCCAAGCGCTGCTGCGTCAATCTGTCAAGCGGTTCAAATTGATCAATGTTGTTCAGAAAATAAGCGAAGTGTCAACTTGTTTTTGCAGTGTGCATCGTCCTTTCGGGCGATGCACGTCTCCGATGCCGCGTCCTCGACTACTGCTTTATGATAATCCGTCTCTCGTTAATCGCTCGTCGCAGCAACTCGCTTGCACCGCTCGCCAGACGGGCATTGCAAAAAGAAAAGTAATAAAAAATCAAATAAAAGGAGGGAATAAAGATTGAGGCCTAGGTACTGCAGACCCTTATACATAGGTGTGACCACCTGCAAAACTAGAAAATCAAAATTAGCCTAAGCTAATCATAGGACCAACTGCCAAGTACAAACGTTGCAGGCATGCCAAATCATGATTGTTCTTCTTAGATAAAATTGGCTTCTGAGTGGTGCTTTGGCAAACTTGGAATGGGAATTGAAGTCCCTGATTGGATTCCGTTTTCGGCAGTGGCGAATGGTTAGACGAGAGCGTCTAAAAGGACGAGGATGGGCTGCGGTTCAACGAACCACATAACGAGGCACCGCGACGCGCCAGGCGACGCCCGTCTCAGGCGTCGGTGGAGGCGTCGGCATGCAGGACAGACAGACAGACAGTCAGACAGACAGACAGACAGACGGACTGACAGCAGAGAAAGGCGACCTGGACCGAAAAAGGCGGTGACCACGTGACCACGCCTAGATCCGTCCTAGCTGGACCGCAGAGGAGGCGGGGAGAGGGTCATTCTGAGAGATGGACTGTCATTGGCTCATGACTCGGGCCATAAATCCCGCCACCGCACTAAACCGCGACTAAATCAATAAAAGAGTGGCTGGAGACGGTTTGAAAAAAAAAGCTCCTTCCGTCGGTACACCGTGAAAGCATTAAAATATCGATCTATCGGATCAGAAGGAGTGTGCGATCGATCCTCGTTGGCTCGGCAGTGTGGGAGGGGGTGAGATGGCAGTCAGGCGGTGCAGGGCGTAGCTACAAAAGGACCGGTGCGGTGAGCGGACGCGTCCAAGGAGCCCGGCGGGGCACGGCGGTGGCGTGCCGAAGTCCGTGACAAGATCGGTCGTTTCCGGACGCGTCCCGAAGGAGGAGATGGGACGCGACGCCTGGAATGCGCACTCGGGATGCCGAGTCTTTCACGCCGCTTCCGGTTAGCTCCGCGCTCCGGGGCTGCCTCCAGACTCCGGGGGGAGTACCGGCGGCCTGGAGCTGGACTCCGGTACGTAGGACTCTCCGCAGGACTCTTCATAGATCTCACTGAACTATCCAGGACTCTGCACAGGTCTCGCTGGACTCTCCAGGCCTCTCTCCGGGACGCTCCGGGACTCCGGGAGGTGGACTCCGGGACGCGGGCTCCGGGACGCGGACGACGCCACCCGGAGCGAGACGCGGCAGCCTTATCAATGGGGCGTAGTAAATACACTGCAACGGCACTGTGCACCGCTGCGCTCCGAACCGCTTTAGCGCGAAAACACTAAAAGACGAAGAAAAGCCGTTGCCTTCTGCCACTTCTTTCAGGGTACTATTATACGTTCGGATCGGAGCGGGCACAGGAAAAATAGCAAATAAAAGCAAATTCATACTACTCGTTTTATGAGTGGAGCGCAGTATGGATTGTAATTGCACAGGCAAGGTGCAAGTGTGTTAGTTGGACGCGAGTATGACTGGGTGTGTCTTTCTTGTGTGTGTGTGAGTGTGTGTGCAAGTGCAGAGGGCTGCAGGACCCTGCTGGTGGAGCTTGTGCAGCTTGTACGGATCTAGTTAGCCGGCCCCGCGGCCCAGCACCGTAAATTGCAGCTAACAAGGTGCAGCGGCGGCCCCGCCAACCAGGTGCACGGACTGCAGAGTGTGCACGGCCCTTGTTCCACGAGCCAGTAGTTTCGCCAAATATTGCCATTTTGATTGCCACTACACTGGCAGTGCCCTACTTCCGGCCAGTGCGTTCGAGTCGCCAAGGCTCAATGGCTGCTTCATTCGCCACGGCGCTTCCAACTCCTAACTGTCTTCTGCTTGCCAATTTCGATTGTCTTCTACTTGCTAACTATGATTGTCTTCTGCTTGCCAACTAAGATTGTCTACTACTTGCAATGCACCTATGATTGTCTTCTGCTTGCCAACTATGATTGTCTTCTACTTTGCCAACTTTTTGTCTTCTGCTTGCAGCTAGTCTGCCAAGTTCCTTTCCTCCTCTGGGTTCCTCTAGATGTGCTCCGTTGATGTCCACTGGACACACTTCATTGAGTCCCTCCGGCTACGTCACCGGCTACGGCCCGTTTCCGGCCAGTGCGTTCAAGTCGCCGAGGTCCACTGAGCCGCGGCAGCGCCGCCCCCGCTCCGTTAGAAAGCCGAGTTTCATCCAACTAAGCAGGCTGATTTAGGAGGCCTGATGCGCTCCGAAGGAGTCCTAAAGTAAACATCACTTAGATCGGACATTACGGCAATCCCTTTCTCAACGACCGTCGCGATGTCCCGTACATTTTCCGTGATCTTATTGTGAACTACCTACGTAGGCAGCAGTCATCTGGCCAGAAAAAAAGTGGCAAAACTGCTGGTATTGGAATTTAAGCTGAAGAATAACTTACAATTACTTTAATAACAACAGAAAATGAATGTTTTGGAAGGGTCGAAAGCAGCATATCTCCGGGCAGGCATCTAGCCGGGCAAAACGTTACTCCCGCAGCAAATTATACGTCTCTGCAATGTCCCCTTTCTGCACGGCCAGCCGGCCGCGGCCAGCGATGCCTGTCGACGGTGACAGTGTCCTGCCTCAGTCTTCCTTGAAATCATCCCTGTCATCACACTGCGCACCGTGGGCCAGCGTTTTGAGCTCTAGAGTCGCTAAACAGGACTCGTGCAAAGCTTGTGATCCCACCAACAGATTCCTCGTTCGGAGAGCAATCCGGTGGTGGGATCACACGTTCGGTTTGAGTGACACTTCGCGACTCTGGAGCTCAAAACGCGTCTGGGATTTTGACCGCCTCTCGGTCTTCTGGCCCACTGTGCTGCGGCGGTCAGGACAGCTGTGGACCGGCTTGCCGGCCACCGAGCCTCCTCTTCTTGTTTTCTTGGTGTGCTCCGCCGATGTGAGGCGGCCCTTGCATGATATAGTGCGAATTACGACGAGCTAGCCGGTTTACGGCGCTTTAAAGAAGCAACGCGAAATTCGGAGCGAGCATGGTGCTCATGTTGCAGGGAGGCTGCACAGCTACTATCGGCTTGACGCGCCACAAATCAATGGGCAGTGCAGATAAGGCTAACAACTTTTTAGTCTGATGAGAATTGGCAGAGTCTTTTATGGCTTGTTTTACCCGCACTTCTTGCACGAAGCACTGGTACCTCAAATGACACTTGCCTCTACACGCGCGTTGAAGTTTCCTTCACTTACATGTACCAACGCTGATTGGAGTTTAAAAATGCAACACGAACTTTTTGTTTTCGTCTCTCGGAACATGCGTTCGTCGCGCACCTGAGCAGCCAAACCCGATCCACAGCTGCGATCCGCGTAACCCAGCCTTGCGAAACGCATTTCGAGTGTATGACACCGGCCGGCTCCTCTCATGACGGTTGAGAAAGCGAAACGAAAGACAAAGGCCAGCGGCATTGGCGAAGTGCGAGCTACCTCTATATATAGTCCGTTCGGACAAACGGTGCCCCGTCACTGAGACAAAGGGCTATGCTTTATGGGCAGCGCAGCCTCATATGCTCCGAGTGTACATTCATGGACTGTTTCGAGCAATTATTTTCTCTTTGCAGGGTAATAACATTTTAATTAGGAAACACCGCAACGTGGCGTTTCTCAAGTCGGTGTGAATCGAAGCAGCAGTACGTACAGGTCATGAACCTGACCTGGACTTGTGTAGGTGCCACACAAAACGAAAAAATCGCGTGTTTTGTGAGTTGGTGTTCGTTTCTAACGGCGAGGCGACGTCAAGAGTCCCACTTTCCAGAAAGAAAGAAACCTCAAAAGTGGCAATGGCGCCGCGTCGCTTTGTTTTATCGCGGCGACGCAGCACCCCGGCCTCGGAACGGGTTTGCCTCTGCCTGGGTCAGGCTGTGCCGCCTTCGCCGCGGATCCGCACTGGATCTGGAGTGAAAAACGACCTCGCTCCTTTTACAACGCGCTGCCTCTCCCGCGGCTACACCCGCCGAAATTGATTTTTCACCCGGCCACTTTGCCGCGTGCAGTGTTGCCACATAAGTGGGCGGAAATTCCTCCCTCGATGCACCGAAAGGGTTGCCAACCTCGGCGCACAGTTGACCAGAAGGCCGGTGAAGGCGGCCAAAATTGGGTTTTGAGCTCTCCAGAGTCGCTAAATGGGGCTCGAATCGAACGTGTGACCTCAACAATGGATTCCTCGTTCGGAGAGCAGTCCATTGGTGGGGTCACACGTTCGGTTCGAGTCCCATTAAGCGACTCTGGAGCTCAAAACGCGTCCGGGACTTTGGCCGCCTGCACCGGTCTTCTGGCCCACTGTGTGCCGACTGCCGCGGCCGGGCGGCCGGCGCTACCCGTACCCGTCATTGCGCAAGCAGTCGCCTAAGGAATCGCTTCCGCTGCGGCAGACAATGACCCTCGAGTAATGGAGGTGAGTCAACCGGGGGGGGGGGGGGGGGGGGGGAGGGGGGGGGGGGGCAAAAAACACGCGGATGACAAGAGGGCCGCAATTTGCGCTGCATTTCCATCGGACGAATTTACAGCGCCGTGCCGGCCGTGCCCCTGGTGCTGATAAAGCCATAAAAACGGTGCGCGATCGCGAGGACCCGATCTTGGAATTTATATCTACATAGTCACGGGGTGGTCGAGGAAAACGAAAAAAAAGAGTAATACCGGGTTGAACGCTCGCGGAAGACCAGAACGTTTGAAATGTGGCGCCGGGTGATTACCACAGGAAATGATAGGCGAGACCACGATGAATGACGTTGGATCAGGGGAACCAGTCAAGTCCGTTGGCCCCATGAACTTGAACTTGAGAGGTTAGGTTCCATTCATTCAAGTAGTTCATTCATGCTGGCATGGTTCGTTCCTGCTGGTATCATTGTCACTCACTCATTCATATTCATTCATTCATTCATTCATTCATTCATTCATTCATTCATAGGACAGGAGGAGATAGCATCCATTTCAAAAATAGCGATCCTCTTCCAGACAGCCAGTCGCCCTAGATCCCAGCCCCGCGATGAACCTCTGCGGTGGCGACAAAAACCGGTATCGTTGCTGCAAGAGCGACAAAGAGCGCCAATTGCATTTTGGCCAAAGTGCCGCCAGAGACAGAGGCACCCGACAGAGGCACCCGTTCGTAGCGCAGTAATGGGTGGCTTCCGTCGGGCACCTTCAGAAATGGTACCCAGTGCGTCTGGCTCGCCCTAACGGCAGCGACAGAGACAGAGCGAGTTGCAACACACCCACTCAGCTGAAAAACTCATCGACTTAATTTCGGCCTTCTTCATCATCAGAGCGATCGGACGGCGGGATAGGGCGTTGCCCGCGTCTGCGGACTGATTCCGAGAGTCGTCTTCGTCACCCCGTCTCGATAGGGATCGCCCCATGAGTGCGAGAGAGACAGAGCGACGATTTTCGGAATCAGTCCGCTGGACACCTTTGAACTTAACGGGGAATGTGCCAAACGCACGGCCCGGGGCCCGGGCGGGGCGCGCAGCGATATCATCGCACTGTCTGCCACCTGCGAAGGTCGCGGGTTCGAGTCCCGGCCGGGGCCAACTTATTATTTTTTTCGCTCCTTTTAATCCCCACAGTTCGCGAACAAGTTTTTAGCGCAGGCTCTCTCAATGCAACAGGCCCAGTGCCCGGTGGCTGAAGCTCGCCGCTCTTGGTGCCACACAGGACCAGCGTGTCTGCATGTGTGCGCCAGTGTGTGTGTGTGTGTGTGTGTGTGTGTGTGTGTGTGAGTGTGGATTTAAAACCGGTTTGTCCGGGAGACCATCTCATCGCAACCCATCCACTGCAAGAGCAATCTGAAGGGTATAGACTGCGCCTCGCTCTTGCAGCCGCTACTGCTTGGCGTTGATTTTGTTGTTGTTTGTTGCCGCCACTGTCGTTGTTTTTGTTATTGCTGTTGCTGGCCCCCAAAGCAAAAGGAGTCGCGGCGCGGAGGGCGGGGCGGCTCTCCGATGAAAATTAAATTTGCACACGCACACGGGCAGACTGCATCATCTAAAGCAGCTGACGACATTGAAAGTCCAAAATTTCGGACCAAGGTTCTAAATTTTCGAGTCTGAAAATCTTACCACGTGGCAAAAATAGTTCTCAATTTTTTTCAAAATTCGGATCAAGATTTTATACTATCGAGTCTAAAAATCTTCCCACCTGGTTAAAATATTTAAAAAAATTTCCAAGCTACAAAAAACAATGTATCTTTGTGCAAATTTAATCCACTTCCCCTCGGTCCTGTTGACAAACCAAAACCGACGAAGTGGTAATGTAATTACTTCTCCCAGGGCGCCCCAGTGCCGGGGCTTTATCAACAGCATTAAAACGCCGCCAACAATGGCGACGGAACGGTACTAGCCCCACGCTTCTTCCACGGGTGCCACTCCAGGTGTGAACACTCGTCGAATTTCTCATCCAGCGCGGACAGCACCGCCCCACAGTGGGCCAGAAGACCGGTGGAGGCGGCCGAAACCCGAGGCGCGTTTTGAGCTCCAGAGTCGCTGAACAGGACTCGAACCGAACGTGTGACCCCACCAATGGATTGCTCTCCGAACGAGGAATCCATTGGTAGGGTCACACGTTCGGTTCGAGTCCTGTTAAGCGGCTCTGGAGCTCAAAACGCGTCTAGAGTTTTGGCCGCATCCACCGGTCTTCTGGCCCACTGTAGCGAGCCTTCCGGGGGACGGATGAGAAAAACACGGTCCGAAACGCGGCTAGCCGTCGCTGTCACAGTCCCCGTTTTAACAAGCGGCGCAACGCTTACCATAATCGTTGCCATCTTGTCGTCACAGGGACGACCGTTTTCTTTTGTTCTTTTTCTTGTGCACTTTTTTTTCGCGGTTTCACGACTTATAGTACCGACATCTCTATCTTCCCACAAAGGTGGCGACCGCGGCGCCAGGCAGACAGGTGCGAAGTCGGCCACAACGACGCGCAGCGCAGTGGGCCAGAAGACCGGTGGAGGCGGCCGCAGCTCTAGACGCGCTTTGAGCTCCAGAGTCGCTGAGCGTGAGTCGAACCGAACGTGTGACCCCACCAATGGATTCCTCATTCGGAGAGCAATCCATTGATGGGGTCACACGTTCGGTTCGAGTCCCATTTAGCGACTCCGGAGCTCAAAACGCGAATTGATAGACGAGTTGAAAAACAGTGCCTTTGCCGTAACGGACTTCCCTCCCCTCCCCTCCCCTCCCCGCCGTTCCCTGGATTCAGATTTGCCGGCAATCCGTTCCCCTCAAATTCGCGCACGATCCATCACGCCGCCACGCCACTGCAAAGCACTGCAAGGCACGACGACGGACAGTTCTCTCGTCGCTCTGTCTCTCTCGCACCCCGACGGTCTGCCCCATGAGTGCGAGAGAGACAGAGCGACGAAAGCGCCACGGCCTCGGCCCGCCGTCGGCTGGAGGACGCCTTGCTTCGCCGGCAGACGAATTCCGAGAGTCCGTCGCTCTGTCTCTCTCGCACCCACGGGGCGTCCCGTGTAGGTGCGAGAGAGACAGAGCGACGACTCTCGGAATCCGTCTGCAGCATCGCCTTGCCGGCCACATTCAAATATGGCAACCGTGCAGGTGACCACTCCGAGGCAGTCCACGCCCCGCCCCGCCCCGCCCCGCCCCGCCCCGCCCCGCCCCGCTACGTCCTGTTATTCATGGCATTCCGATGTCCGCGGTGTGTCGGGTAAATCCCCCGCGGATGCAAATAAGTCACATTACACACGGCTGTCGGTCGCGGGATCAAATCCCCCGCACTTCACTTTTTTTTTCATTTCTTTCTTTTTTTTTCCTTCTAGTTCTAAGCAGAGTGCACACGGTCCGTGGCGCAACGAGCGGCGTGCCGCGAAGGGAAATGTCTCCTTATTAAATGTTGTTTCGCAATTAACCGCGGGAGATGCGTCCAGCGCCGATGCACCCACCTGACGCAGCCGAGCCGAGCCGAGCCGAGCCGAGCCGAGCCGAGCCGGGCCGAGCCGAGCCGAGCCGGACCGAGCCGAGCCGAGCCGAGCCGAGCCGGGCCGAGCCGGACCGAGCCGAGCCGAGCCGGATCGCCTACTCACGCCAGAGCCCAGAGTGCACCAAATGATGTCGCAACGGTCAGGGACTCCACTTCACTTGCACGTCGCCAGTCGTCCGGCCAGCCATGCAGAGGATCATTAGGCAAACCAGGCAGGGAAAAAACACCGCCTGGCGCACTTGAAGAAAAGACAGTAGTACCCGTGCTTTGCATGAGGCACGGTGGTGTACTGACGGTATAGCTTGTTAGCTACTGATTGCTCCATCTGTCTAGTGTTCTTCTCGACTGGCTTTGGCTAGGGCGAGTTTTCAGATCGACCATGCTGCACAGTGGGCCAGAAGACCGGCCGAAACTCTAGACGCGTTTTGAGCTCCAGAGTCGCTAAACAGGACTCGAACCGAACGTGTGACCCCACCAATGGATTCCTCGTTCGAAGAGCAATCCATCGCTGGGGTCACACGTTGGGTTCGAGTCCCATTTTGCGACTCTGGAGCTCCAAAATTCCTTCGTTCGGATGTGCGGGGGGAGAAGTGAGAGACTTTAACGCTGGATGCTTCGGAGAGCTCGGTGGAGTTTGAGGTTAAAACAGTTTGACGACGTCGGCTGCCGACCGACCGGCCGCGGCCGGCCATCGTGACCTACACTGGCATTACTATGCTGCTTCTTGCGTCGTGTGTTGTTGTTTATGGAGATGGGTCCGCCCCACTCACAGAGCGCGCGCGCGCGCGCGCACACACACACACACACACACACACACACACACACACACACACACACACACACACACACACACACACACACACACACACTCACTCTCCGGCCACGAGAGCGCCTCGGCTCACTCTAACTCCTAGGCTTTGTCTTCTAGGATAGTTCAAGGAGTAGAGTATACTCCATGCTCACCAGAAGTACTCCAGCCATTGTCACGAAGAAGAAACTTACCAGTTGTCCATCGCGGCAAAGTCACTCAAGGGCAGCTCCTGCAATCATAAATAGAATACAAAGTCAGAATGTGGCAAGGGCAACCACTCTGAGAGGGTAGTGGTGTTGACCCCACCAATGGATTCCTCGTCCGGAGAGGAATCCATTGGTGGGGTCACACGTTCGGTTCGAGTCCCATTTAGCGACTCTGGAGCTCAAAACGCGTCTGGAGTTTTGGCCGCCTCCACCGGTCTTCTGGCCCGCGCCGCCCACTGCGTCCTTAGTGACCTGTGTCCGTCCGCCGGTACACTATCAAGCGGGACCAACCCGCCAAGTCCTATTCCAGCCCATCCCGAGGTCAACCTGCAGCCCGGAGGCAGCCAAAGGCAGCCAGGCCGCGCCGCCAAGTTATGAGATCGTTGCACAATGGGCGGCCGGCGCGGTGCGTCCCCGACAAAGAGAGAGAGACAGAGCGACGCAGCGCGACTCCGCGGCCGAGCGAGAGAGACAGAGATAGCTATATGCCCGCGGGCAAAAAGGATCACGCGGCGGCACACTGCGAAGAGGAAACGCTGGCGCACCTCGTGGGGACAAAAATGGCCCCGTAGAAGTCAAAAAGGAACTTCAAACAAGTCAAAAAAAAAAAAAAAAAAACTTCGAAGAAATAAAAAAAAATCTTCTTAGAGGTCTGTTTGACTTCTAGGCCCTGGAAGCCCCATAGAAGTCACCTGTATAGAACCACCCCGCCTTCGGCGTGTGTGTGTGTGTGTGTAAGTGTGTAGGTGTGTGCGAGTGTCCGTGCGTGCGAGTGTGCGTGCGTGCGCGCTTCCCCGCTTTCCCACGGGGCCGTGCGGGGCAGTGCGGGGCCGTGCCTGTATACTCGGAGAGGGTGTCTCCGACGGTTCAGCGCGAAATATACGCGAGCCAGTCAGGTGATCCCGCGCCCCAGCCGGGCCGCGTATGAGTGAGCGTCTGCTCCTTGCGTTTTGTTTCGTTTTTGTTTTTGTTTTTTTCCACGACGAAAATAAGGAAAAAAAATGAAAGATGCGCGGCTTTCCATTTTGAAGGTGATGCAAGACGCCGAGGGAAAACGGCCACTTTTGAAGTAATGAGAACAATAATGGGAGCGAGCGCTTTCAATCGCTGCCGTAATGAAGTGGTAATGCTTGCTCGGCCGGTGCGCGAGGGGCGTATGCCACTGTAACCGGAAATCGAGTTTTTAGAGCTCGAAATAAGTGTCTCCGTGGTCCGGCAGGGCTGCCTGCACCGCTCACAGAGAGCCAGAAGACCGGTGGAGGCGGCCAAAACTCCAGACGCGTTTTGAGCTCCAGAGCCGCTAAATGGGACTCGAACCGAACGTGTGACCCCACCAATGGATTGCACTCCGAACGAGGAATCCATTGGTGGGGTCACACGTTCGGTTCGAGACCCACTTAGCGACTCTGGAGCTCAAAACGCGTCCAGAGTTTTGGCCGCCTCCACCGGTCCTCTGGCCCACTGTGCCGCACCTGCCCTCCCGCTGGGGAGGTCCTTCCCAGTGCAGCGCCGTGTCACTTGACGGCCAGCTCGTCCTGCAGGCTGTCTCTCTCGCACTCATGGGGCGTCCCGTGAAGGTGCGAGAGAGACGCTGAGCCGCCCTGGGAGCGAGCGAGACGGCGTGTCTGGCCAAGGAGAGCATTACATCGGCCATCGGAGCATGACGCGCCGAGGGCGGCACACTGCGAGTCCAGCAGCACCAGTGGCGATACACTTGAAGTCAATGTCGCCTCGACGCCGCCGCGACCTAGACGCCAGAAAACGAGCCCACACTGCTAACGACTCGTTAGAAGCAGGTGAATTTCGTCCCGTGCTAATTTATCGACCTCAAAAAAGCCCTCTGATTCCACATTTTTATCAGTGCAGCGACACTGCTCTGGTTACAAAAGACTCGTCAGGGTGGGCGTCCCCCCTTTCCGTCCCCAGGCCGCCCCTGCACCAATTAACCTTCGCCGCTGCCGTCTCTCTCGCACCCGCACGGAGCGCCCCGCGAGTGCGAGAGAGACAGAAGCGCCCTGGGCCATCCGTGGGTGACAGCGGAGAATTGATGGCGATTCACAAAAGGAGTTGGACGATACCCATTACATCCCGCGGTAGCCGGTAGCTGTAGGGCCCCTCGACTCCACAGTGGGTCAGAGAGACCGCGGCGGAGGCGGCCAAAACGCCAGACGCGTTTTGAGCTCCAGAGTCGCTAAGCAGACCTCGAACTGATCGTGTGACCCCACCATTGGATTCCTCGTTCGGAGAGCAATCCATTGGAGGGGGTCACACGTTCGGTTCGAGTCCCATTTAGCGACTCTAGAGCTCAAAACGCGCCTAGACTTTGGGCCGCCTCCACCGGCCTTCTGGCCCACTGTGCTCCCTCCAGTGCGCCGTCTTGCTCGGCTCGAATCGGCGCTCATCAGACCGGAACTCGGAGGGACGCCCTTCGCCGTTTCCGGTCCACCTTTCTTATTTTGGAGCGCTGCCCCTCTTCGCGTGTAGGTCCTTCACACACAATCCAGGGAGAGAGGGAGAGAGAGAGAGAGAGAGAGAGAGAGAGAGAGAGAGAGAGAGAGAGGCGCACTCCAGTAGATTGAAAAACAAAGCCGCGGCACAACACCTTGCGGGCCATCACACCTACTACTACGCCGCGGACGACGACAACAACAACAACACGAAGCCAGAGTAAAGAAAAGTTTTTGTTTGTTCTTCTTTTTTTTTCGTTTTTTCCACTTGGTTTTTTTAACAGGGTGGTTTGTCTTTGCCCAGGTGACGTGAGGCGCACCGTGGCGCACCGGAGCCGTGTTGACTATTCTCCTTTGTACCTGCTACCACCACGGCCCCAACCCGCTACGACGCGCCCCGCCCCGCCCCGCCCCGCCACGCTTATTAGATCCACATTAAGGTGCTTCACCTGGGATGCACTTCATTTTTTATTCCGCCTCGGGCCGTTTGCTACCTGTGCCTGGCCTGCTTCACGCCGCGGGCACGGCAGTGTACTGCACAGCCACCACGACGCCACCGGTACCGTCCACAGCCCTCAGAGGACCGGCGGTGGAGGCGCGGCCGAAACTCCAGACGCGTTTTGAGCTCGAGAGTCGCTAAGCAGGACTCGAACCGAACGTGTGACCCCACCAATGGATTGCTTTCCGAACGAGCACTCCATTGGTGGGGTCACACGTTCGGTTCGAGTCCCATTTAGCGACTCCGGAGCTCAAAACGCGTCTGGAGTTTTGGCCGCCTCGGCGTAATATGCGGACGGACGCACAAAGCATAACAATGCACACACGATGCACAAAGAATAATGCACCGCACTGCTTCCTACACCGGACAGCTGCAGACTGGATTCCGCTCTCTCTCTCTCTCTCTCTCTCTCTCTCTCTCTCTCTCTCTCTCTCTCTCTCTCTCTCTCCCCCCCTCATTTGGCGGTAAAACCCTCCCCGGTGCGGCTCGCGCGAGGGGGTAGCCCGTCCTATGGGGTGGGAGGGTGGGCAGGTGAGAGAGAAAAGGGGGTGGGAGGGGGAGGGTGGCGGGGCCACGCCCTAGCTCCTAAAATGCACCGCCGCACGACACGAAACCGTTGCACCGTCGGATCGATGCCGCACCGGGCCGGAGCTCCGGCTTCCGAACCAATCAGTGTTTACTTACAGTGGGGGGAGCGGCAGAAGTAATTTTAAAACAATTTGGGAAAATGTTCGTTTTTTCGAACAGGATTAGTGGCAACCAGATAGTAATTCTGTTGCAAACGGCACAGCTCAAAAGCGCAACCCACATTTTAATCTATGTTCCTTTTCAGAAAAATGGGCGTTATAAAAGCACTGATTGGCACACTGTAAGTGCTTGCAGTAAACGATATAAGCCACAGGGGCCAATCTAGGCCAGTGCACGCTACTGACACACTGTGAGCAAAGAGTTCCGCTCAGACGGGTTCGCCTTGAAGCCGCGGTCAGGCTGCCGACAGTGGCGGATCCAGAGGCTACTTTTTTCGGGGGGGGTCACTTTTCGCCTAACTTACAAGGAGGCTTTTGGTCTGCCTTTCAGGCTGCTATCTAGGTGCCATGGGGACAAACACACACACACAATCACTCACTCTCTCACTCACTCACTCACTCACACACACACACACACACAGAGAGAGAGAGAGAGAGAGAGAGAGAGAGAGAGAGAGAGAGAGTGGTCGGTGACGCGGGCATTCCGAGGTTGGCGTTCAATGACTGGAGCATTCCAGAGACTCGGGTTGCGACACGCGTTCGTCCCGCCGGACTGCATCTGATGACAGTCAGTCGTGGTTTTCTGTCCTCTCTTTTTCTGGACCGGGAGGGAGAGAGAGACAGAGAGAGAGAGAGCCTGAGCGCGTTTCGTGTGGACCAGATAAAGAAGCCACAGTCACTAAAATGTTTCCCAGATAGAACCAACCCGTGTTTGCTCGGCCACGAGGGGGCATAAACTCGGGATTTTCGTGTACACATGATTCGAAAAACGCAATGATTTCATGGCTGATTCGCCTTATTTCGCGACGCACCAGGGTGATGTTGAGCGTGATTGAGTGTGATTGTGTTCGGAAAGAAATGATTTCGGACTGATTTTGCCTGGTTTCGTGTGATTCTGCCTGATTTCGGTCGAATTTAGTGATTTTGGATTGCTTGATTTCGCGTGATTCTCAATGATTCGCATGTGATTTCGGGGGCCGTGTACACATGATTGCGCGAGTTTTTGCCCCCTCGCTCGGCCATCAACGGGAACCCTTTATGCACCAGGTAAGGCCCCTCGCTCCCGGAGGCAAAGAAGGCCGTTGTCTACTCGTCACAGGGGACATCTTCCTTTCATACACTGAAAAATAAAATCACGAGGTAAGAACGTGAACTGGAGGTGAGAATGAAGAAGAAAAGAAGAATTGAGGAGAATCGAGAGCAGTTTAGGAAGAGTATTTCTGCAAGACAAGGGCATTTTTCCTCAAGCTGAGAGCATTTCCCGGGGCCTAGAGCATTTATACCCGCAGTCGTTGACGAAAGAGCTGGTGCCACAGAGATATCACAGGTCG